GTGCATCTAATTCGCAAGTCTTACTTTGATTCTTTTCCTACTCCCTTTTGCTCCTTTAAACACAGTTTTTACTGCATTTTGAGGCCATTTGCAAAAAAAATGTTTGATATTCAAAGATTTTGAACTACTTGCGGGCAAACTTTGTCCACTTGCGGGTAATTTGCAAAAAAATGCTGTGGCAATTTTTCGTGCCACTTGCTAGCATTTTTGGGCTAAATGACTATGATCTGTTATGTCCATTAAAAAAAAATTTAAATTAATTTAAATTTTCATTTAAATTTCAGTTTATTTAAATGTGAAATTATCAGCCCTCTCAAGTTGAATGAAAAATTTTAATTTAAACCGACCAATTTAAATTGAAAAAAATTTAAATTGCTTCAGCTGTATTTGATCTGACGCCAAAGATCAGAGTTCGTTCATGATAATTAATTTCACTTTTCACAGTTCCGCGGAAAAAGCCAACAATCTAAATTTTCACGACAAATTTGATGAACTTTTGTCGCAATTATAAAAGTTCGAAAAAATTGGTTTGGGAACTACTTGCATGAAGTTGCAAAAAAATACCAAAATTGGCAGAAAATTGCTAAAAACAGACTGAAGGATAATTTAAAATTCTCAGGAAAAAATTAAAACTTTTGAAAAAATTTGAATTGGATCCAACAATTTTTATAATTTTCTTACACTATTAATTTGAATTTTAATTTTTATAATTTTAATGGACATCAGTGACTATGATTGACTAAAACTAGGAACTTTGCAATGGCGAAAACCAAGTTTCGAAGATTCAAAATAAATTTCACTGCTCAGAACTCATTCTCAGAATCATTCTAGGTCACCGACGTTTAATAAGTTTTCAGCAATGATTATGCAGCAAGCAAGCTAACCTTTTGCATCGATTTAGTTCATATTTAAAAAATTATAATCCGTTTTGCTGTAATTTGCCATTCAGAAAAATAGACTCTATATATTACAATTTTTATCGGATTGTTACTTGTTTTAACATCGTTTGAAGACACTGCTAGCGTTATTTTAATTTTTTTTTTGCTTGGCAATTGTTGCTAAGCTCAGTTTCAGCAAAGTTTAAAGACTGCGACAACCAAACAATCGATAAAAATGCAAATCAGATGAAAAAAAGGACAATAACTGAACTTAATATCGAAAAATACGTGTACACCTTTATTGTTCCGACTTTCGATACGAAAGTAACGGAATATTTGTGCTCGGGGTGGGTTGTTTTTCTTCACACAAATTTCGACTTTTTAACTAGCCATTTTTGACGGATTTTTTTATATCATTCGAAAACTATTATTGTCCTGAGCTTAAATTTGAAAAGATATGTAATTTGTAAAGTAATAAGGGTTTAAAGATTGCCATTTTGGCCATTTTGACCAATTTGGGACAATTAACGCGCGATATAATTTGGCTATTAACGCGTAAGCGGAGAGTTATTCCGTCTTAGAAATCGTTCCAAATTGGTTAAAAGAAGCTTATTCGCTATAAATGGTTTGTTACAAGGAGTGAAATCTATCCTTTTGTACTTTATGTGGCGTGTGGGGTGATGATTTTCATAAAAAATTTCAAATTTTAAAAGAAAAAAAAATTCATTTTGTTTTATTACATTCAATTTTTTAATGTTATTACTGCTCCATAAACCTTAAAAGGCAGTCGGAACATTCAGGGCTTCCCCCTGATACAAGCAGTCTTGTTTACATTTAATTTTCTCATGTTTTTACTGCTCCATAGACCTTAAGAGGCAGTCAGAACATTCAAGGCTTTGCCCTGATACGAGCAGTCTTGTCTAGTTTTGCTTCAGTTTTCAGTTTTTTTTCCATGACAGGCTTTGGCAAAGTTTTTTTGGCTCTTTTTCATTTTCCCCCCACATTTCAAAACAGCCATTCCCTTAGTTGTTCACGAATTATTATGCTTCAATGCGTGGTATAAGATAAAAATTATGAACGACAAATTTGTTCACAATAATCAATTTGTCAGCAAATTTTTATAAGACTAAGCCAATATTAAAATAGTTTTTCATGGCTGAAATTCGAATGTGGGAAAGGGGAGTGGAAAAGAAACGGTTTTTCAACACAAATGTAACTTCTTGCTGTTTTTCAGAGCAAACTAAGTGAAAATAATTTTTGCATAATATTTCCTAACTTAATTATGAGCGACAAAACTTGATTAATTACTTTTTTGCTCCCAGCTCCCTAAACTAAAAATATGCTCACATTTTCAATCGAAGACGGAAACAAAAAAAAACAATTTCATTGAACTTTTAAACGTTATTACTGCTCCATAAACCTTAAAAGGCAGTCGGAACATTCAGGGCTTTGCCCTGATACGAGCAGTTTTGTTTAGTAATTTGGATAGTTACATTTTCAGTTTAATGTTATGGCTTTATTTGATTTCGAAGAGATAATTGATGGCCATTAATTTTTCCAAGGTATTAGATGATAGAGGCTTGAGCCGGTGCCTTAATTTTTCAGCCTAGGAAAAATTTCGAACGAATTTGCACGGAGTTCTTAGATAGAGACAAAACAGCGACTGTGTGTTACAATCTGAACAAAAATGCTCGTAACAGGGCCAAGCCCTGAATGTTCCGACTGCCTTTTAACGTTTATTGAGCAGCAGTAAAAACACAAAAAAATTAAATGAAATAAAATAAAATGCAATTTTTTTTCTCTAAAATTTGAAATTTTTAAATGAAAATATTCCTCCCACACGCCATAAAAAGTACAAAAAGATAGATTTCGTTCCTTGTAATAAATCAATAATGGCAAATAAGCTTCGTTCAACCAATTTGGAACGATTTATAAGAAGGATCAAATCTCCGCTTACGCGTTAATAGCGCGAATTATATCGCGCGTTTATTGTCCCAATTTGGTCAAAATGGCCAAAATGGCAATCTTCAAACCCTCATAACTTTACAAAAATGATCACAGGTGAAATATCTTTTCAAATTTATGCTCAGGACAACAATGGCTTTCAAATGATATAAAAAATTCCCGTCAAAAATGGCTAGTTAAAAAGTCGAAATTTGTCTGAAGAAAAAAAAACCCACCCCGAGCACAAATATTCCCTTACTTTCGTATCGAAAGTCGGAACACTAAGTGATATGTTTTTGCAGTCTGTTGAGGAGAAATAGTCTTATAAGAGAATTTGTTCCCGAAAGAAAGCGTCATCATACGATCTGTTCAGTCCTTAAACAAACAAGACTGCTCGTATCAGGGCGAAGCCCTGAATGTTCCGACTGCCTTTTCAGGTTTATCGAGCAGTAGTAACATAAAAAAATTAAATATAATTAAAAAAAATGAAAAAAAAAATTATAAAATTTGAAATTTTTTATGACATTAATCATCCCCCCACACGCCAAATAAAGTTTAAAAACGATTTCTAAGACGGATTAAATCTCCGCTTACACGTTGAAAGCGCGAAATATATCGCGCGTTAATTGTCCCAAATTGACCAAAATGGCAATCTTTAAACCCTCATAACTTTACGAAAAATGATCACAGGTGAAATATCTTTTCAAATTTAAGCTCAAGACAACAATACCTTTTGAATGATATTAAAAATTCTGTCAAAAATGGCTAGTTAAAAAGTCGAAATTTGTCTGAAGAAAAAGAACCCACCCCGAGCACAAATATTTCGTTACTTTCGTATCGAAAGTCGGAACAATAAGTGATATGTTTTTGCAGTCTGTTGAGGAGAAATAGTCTTATAAGAGAATTTCTTCACGAAAGAAAGCGTCATCATAAGATCTGTTCAGTCCTTAAACAAACAAGACTGCTCGTATCAGGGCGAAGCTCTGAATGTTTCGACTGCCTTTTAAGGTCTATGAAGCAGAAATATGATGAAAAAATTAAATATAAAAAAAAGAAAAAAAAAGAATTTGAGATTTTTTGTGAAAATCATCCCCCCACACGCCATATAAAGTACAAAGTGATAAGTTTAGCTTCTAGTAACAAATAAATTATGACAAATAAGCTTCTTTCAACCAATTTGGAACGATTTCTATGACGGATTAAATCTACGCTTACGCGTTAATAGCGCGAAATATATCGCGCGTTAATTAAATTCCCGAATTGGCCAAAATGCCAATCTTTAAACCCCCATAACTTTACGAAAATTGATCACAGGTGAAATATTTTTTCAAATTTAAGCTCAGGACAACAATACCTGTTGAATGATATGAAAAATTTCCGTCAAAAATGGCTAGTTAAAAAGTCGAAATTTGTCTGAAGAAAAAAAAACCCACCCCGAGCACAAATATTCCGTTACTTTCGGATCGAAAGTCGGAACAATAAAAATCCACGCCAACTTGAATATTCCGCTTTGTCTTGAACATTCGGAACAAAAATCAACTGAGGTTTTTATAAAACTAGTTTTTATCAAGGTACAGTTCTGATTGATCTAACTGTACCCTGAAATACCCTGAACAAAAATGCAGATTTTCCCTTTATTAACATTCACCCAAGTCAAAGACTGTAACGTATGTCGCAGTGGCAACCAACGGACATGATTCATCTTTGCGCAAACGAAAAAAAAACTAGTGCGAATTAAAGATCGCAGTTTTGCGCGATAAACAGTTTTCAGCGCATCTTCGCTCGGACTGAAAAAAATTGTGCGACTTTACCTGACCCAGAAGACAGTTTGCGGGACCAAAAAATATTCTGCACAAACTTTTGTGTTGCGCGAATTTATCCTCAGCGCGACTGAGGACATTTGATCGTAGGATGATCAGATAGGAGTAACCACTAGGGTGGCGATGTAAGTTGAGAAAACTGGCCCGGGAACATGTTTGTTGATTATTTGTTCTCCGGAAAAGCTGGAAATTTGTGGTTTTTTTTACTATTCAACCTCTGGGTACCTTGTAACGAATTACGACCCTATAATGAACTAATTCAGCGGTTGAGGATATGTGAATTTTGGTACCTAATAACGAATCCCCCCCCCCCCCCCCCCATTTTGCACAGAGGGGATAGTTAAGTAGATTCAAGTACCTGGGGGAGGGCGAGGAGAACTGCGACAGAGTAAGTGACTGCACACATTAGGGGGGTGACATTTTGTGCGACCACCATCTTGAGGGGGAACACGATTGCGAGGAGGCGGTCGAGTGAGATGCACACCAGCATGAACGGGCCACAAATGAAGAGGAAGAGACGGAGGAACATGAGCACTTTGCAACACATGTCTCCCGCCAGCCATTGCACTGCAAACACATATCAACCATATGATAAGTTACAGTAAGAGTCAAGTTGAAACAATGTTTAAAACATTAAAGTCGATCCATATTTGTTGTTTAAAAAACAATTTAGTTTGCTCGAGCTTTGTTCGTTGGAAATTTTTATATGAAATCAATAATTTTTACAAATGAAGTGCCAACATAAAAAAAATTAGCAATCATTAAAATCGAATTGTTGATAATGAAGTGAAAAAAATTTCAGTGAAAATAGATAATTTGAAGTAGTTGAAATCAATAGTTACAAAAAGACAGCTTTTACATCAATTTACGTCTGCTTTGGCCGAACGCTTGACATTTTAAAAATTTCTTTTCTTGTTTTGAAAGTCACCAAAATTGTTTTTTTTTGTTTCCGTCTTCGATTGAAAACGCGAGCATATTTTTAGTTTAGGGAGCTGGGAGCAAAAAAGTAATTAATCAAGTTTTGTCGCTCATAATTAATTTAGGAAATATTATGCAAAAATTAATTTTCACTTAGTTTGCTCTGAAAAACAGCAAGAAGTTACATTTGTGTTGAAAAACCGTTTCTTTTCCACTCCCCTTTCCCACATTTGAATTTCAGTCATGAAAAACTATTTTAATATTGTCTTCGTCTAATAAAAATTTGCTGACAAATTGATTATTGTGAACAAATTTGTCGTTCATAATTTATATCTTATACCACGCATTGAAGCATAATAATTCGTGAACAACTAAGGGAATGGATGTTTTGAAATGTAAGGGGAAAATGGAAAAGAGCCAAAAAAACTTTGCCAAAGCCTTTCATGGACGAAAACTGAAAACTGAAGCAAAACTAGACAAGACTGCTCGTATCAGGGCAAAGCCTTGAATGTTCTGACTGCCTCTTAAGGTCTATGGAGCAATAAAAACATAAGAAAATTAAACGTAAACAAGACTGCTCGTATCAGGGCGAAGCCCTGAATGTTTCGACTGCTTTTTAAGGTTTATGGAGCAGTAATAACATTAAAAAATTAAATGAAAAAACACAAAATGAAAAAAATTTTTTTTTTAAAATTTGAAATTTATTATGAAAATCATCCCCCCACACGCCATATAAAGTACAAAAGGATATATTTCGCTCCTTCTAACAAACCAATTATGGCAAATAAGCTTCTTTTAACCAATTTGGAACGATTTCTAAGACGGATTAAATCTCCGCTTACGCGTTAATAACGCGAAATATATGGCGCGTTAATTGTCCCAAATTGGCCAAAATGGCAATCTTTAAACCCCCGTAACTTTACGAAAAATGATCACAGGTGAAATGTTTTTTCAAATTCGAGCTCAAGACAACAATACCTTTTGAATGATATAAAAAATGGCTAGTTAAAAAGTCAAAATTTGTCTGAAGAAAAAAAAACCCACCCCGAGCACAAATATTCTGTTACTTTCGTTTCGAAAGTCGGAACAAAAAGCTGCCTTCAACCAATTTGGAACGATTTCTAAGGCCAATTAATTCTCCGCTTACGCGTTATTAGCGCGAAATATATCGCGCGTTAATTGTCCCAAATTGGTCAAAATTGTAATCTTTAAACCCCCATAAGTTTACGAAAAATTTTCACAGGTAAAATATCTTTTCAATATTAAGCTCAGGACAACAATACCTTTTGAGCGACATAAAAAATTCTGTCAAAAATGGCTATATTTAAAATGTCGAAACTTGTCTGAAGAAAAAAAAACCCACCCCGAGCACAAATATTCCGTTACTTTTGTTACGAAAGTCGGAACAATAACTGTCGGAAAAATATGATGGGAAACGAGCAAAACGTGTTGTAAGGAGACAATTGAAGCTGAGTATCTTTCCCTGGATCTTCGTTATCGCCGCCACGTTTGCACGCCATATAAGTATCTTAACACCAATTTAGCTAAACTGATCGATTCATATTTTGGTATTGAAAGCGTGAGCCAATTATACCGCATTACAAATCGTTTCAAATTGAAGTGAGGCACACTAATTGTGTCTTGTTAATTCCATACAAGACTCATAATTAAAAAATACAACTTCAATTCATAGCTTGCCTTAAACTCATAGTTCGTCAAAACTTTACTAGCCAACAACAAGTCGAGACCAAAAAAGGTCAGCCTGATACGAGAATTCTTGTTAAACATTTACATAGGCTGGTCAAAAAAACATAACACGGGTTAGCATCGCTTCTCACTCAACAAGAGAAACTTTCAGGCGAGTACATATTCTATTTTTAAACAAGACTGTTCGTTTATGAGGGTGAAGTCCTTAATGTTCCGACTGTCCATCAAAATTAATTCTAAAAGTTTAAAAATGGTCTCAAATTTTTTCCTACAGTTTACACCCCACTCAAAACAAATGTAAATTACAAATGGATGCATCTAGACCTGTTTATACTAATGATAAGACCAAAAAAATTACCTCAGCTAATTTTCTACCGATTTAATCTATCGCTTACGCGTGTTCAAAGAGCACAAAAGATCGCGCATAAACTATAAAATTTGTCAAAATATTTTCGTTAGAAAATCAAAAATTAATGGAACAAGACTGTTCGTATCAGGGCAAAGCTCTGAATGTTCCGATTGCCTTTTAAGGTTTATGGAGCAGTAAGAACATTAAGAAAATAAATGAAATAAAATAAAATGAAACTTTTTTTTTCTAAAATTTGAAATTTTTAAAATGAAAATCATCCCCCCACACGCCATATAAAGTACAAAAGTATAAGCTTTTTTCAACCAATTTGGAACGACGGATTAACTCTACGCTTGCGCGTTAATAGCGCGAAATATATCGCGCGTTAATTGTCCCAAATTGGCCAAATTGGCAATCTTTAAACGCCCATAACTTTACGAAAAATGATCACAGGTGAAATATCTTTTCAAATTTAAGTTCAGAACAACAATACCTTTTGAATGATATAAAAAAAATTCCGTCAAAAATGGTTAGTTTAAAAGTCGAAATTTGTCTGAAGAAAAAAAAACCCACCCGGAGCACAATTATTCCGTTACTTTCGTATCGAAAGTCGGAACAATAAAAATCCACGCCAAGTTGAATATTCCGCTTTGTCTTGAACAGTCGGAACAAAAATCAACTGAGGTTTTTATAAAACTAGTTTTTATCAAGGTACAGTTCTGATTGATCTAACTGTACCCTGAAATACCCTGATCTAACTGTACCCTGATAAGTCTGTATATTGAAATGACTTATACTCGCAACTAAACTGAGCAAAATTAAAAAGTTATAAATTTGCAGCAGAAGGTTACGAACAAAAACTATTTGCATATTGATGTATGACAATCTCGGAGCTCGAATTTTGTTACGCGAATCAGGGGTGGATCAGGATTTTCTCGAGCGTGGGGCGTATTTTCAAAAACATTCGACAACTTTGCGGACCTTTTTTTAGGGTCGACCAAATTGATTTCCGAGCTCTGCCAAAGCACTAAAAAACCGGCCAAAATGGATATCACAAAATAGTACAAAGGGGGGACCCCGAAATCCGCCCTGGTGCGAATAGTTATTCTCAGATAGTTTTTGTCAAATTTAGCCAGAGGGTCCACCTTTGGTACTACTTTACGATTTTCATTTCTAGTTGACCAACCCAAGAAAAAACGTTGGCAAAAAAGTGTCAATGTATTGGCCGTCAAAATTGCAAAGCTTTTGCGAAAAACCGCCTGAAAAAAAATAATTGTTCTTTTTTTCTATGCTCATGCATTGTCTTGTATTTTCTTGTATTCTTGGAATAGTATTGAAAAAGGGAAAACGTTTAGCGCAAATTAGGCATTAGCGCGAATAAGAAAAAAGGAAAACGTTTAGCGCGAGTTTAGGAAAAGCGGTTTTAAACTGTATTGTAAGTTTGGCACTGTTATAGTTAGTTATTATATCACAAAATTAAAGGTTTCTCTAGTATAGCCTTAAATTATAAAAAAAAAACAAGACTGCTCGTATCAGGGCGAAGCCTTGAGTGTTCCGACTGCCTTTTAAGGTTTATTTAAGGCAGCAGTAATACATAAAAAAAATTAAATGAAATAAAATAAAATGAAAATGGCAATCTTTAAACCCTCATAACTTTACGAAAAATAATCACAGGTGAAATATCTTTTCAAATTTGAGCTCAGGACAAGCATACCTTTTGAATGATATAAAAAAAATTCAGTCAAAGATGACTAGTTAAAAAGTCGAAATTGGTCTGAAGAAAAAAAACCCACCCCGAGCACAAATATTCCGTTACTTTCGTATCGAAAGTCGGAAAAATAAGATATTTAAAATAAAATGAGAAAAATATTGTCTACATTCTTTAAGGCTATGAGAAAACTCAGTGACGAAGATTGATTGAGTTTTCCAATTTGCCAGCAAGGATTCGAATTGGCATTTTCGTTCCGACTTTGATACGAAAGTAACGGAATATTTGTGCTCCGGGTGGGTTTTTTCTTCAGACAAATTTTGAGTTTTCAACTAGCCATTTTTGACGGAATTTTTTAGATATCATTCGAAAGGTATTGTTATCTTGAGTTCAAAATTGAAGAGATATTTCACCTGTGATCATTTTTCTTAAAGTTATGGGGGTTTAAGCATTGCCATTTTGGCCAATTTGGGATAATTAACGCGAGATATATTTTGCGCTATTAACGCAATAGCAGAGAGTTAATCCGTCGTAGAAGTTATTCCAAATTTGTTAAAAGAAGTTTATTTGCCTTAATTGATTTGTTAAAAGGAGCGATATCCTTTTGTACTTTATGTGGCGTGTGGGGGGACAATTTTCATAAAAAATTTCAAACTTTAGAATTTTTTTTCATTTTGTTTTATTACATTTAACTTTTAGTGTTATTACTGTCCCATAAACCTTAAAAGGCAGTCGGAACATTCAGGGCTTCGCCCTGATACGAGCAGTCTTGTTGAAAAGTTGAAAATAAAACCAGCTCACATTCTTTTAATTCGCGAACCCTAATTCCAAGAAACTGGAAACAAATGTTGACTAAAACAACAAGACTGAATGTTCCGACTGCCT